ACGGGGTTTCGCCGTGTTGCCAAGGCTGGCCTTGAACTCCTGAGTTCAGGCAGTCTGCCTGCCTTGGCCTCCCAAAGTGCTGAGATTACAGGCATGAACCACTGCACCCGGCCCAGGTATCTTTTAATAACAAGTTACTTATATATAATTAGCCTAGAAAGGCCAAACTTCTCTTTTTCAGCTTTTGGTTTTTAATATACCTGGGTTATATAAACAAAAGCATAGTCACAGTAGTTCTGGGCTACATAAATTCTGAATTATGTCAAAGAAACCTGATTATTTCTAGTATCTTTTGTAATACCCAAACGAGTTAGAAGGAAACACCATGCTCTGAGTTCAAATTATGAGTCCTTTATTCAGCCAGCGACAGAGAGTCAGCTAACACTCAAATTCTCTTGGCCCGAGGAAGGGGCTTGATTTCCCTTTATACCTTGATTTAGGTAGGGGCGGGGGCAGCCTAGCTGAAGTGGAATTTTACAGAAACAGAACAAGCAAGTTAGTAGGAGGAGGCTGGTAATCAGGGGGTTGGAGGTTCCCGAGATTGTTGGTTGCTATGGGTATTTCCATACAATCACTAAAGGGGGTAGCAGGGGGAACTTTCCATACAATCAATCACCAAGGAAGGTATTCACAATAGCAGATACACTTGCCAAGCAGGATGCGGTTACAGTGGTTATAGGTGCTGTGAACAGTGTGAACCACTCTTAACGTTTCAAAGCTTTGAGTGCAGCATGACCCAGTAATGCACCAGAGGGGCTGCAGCAGGGAGGAAGAGGGAGAGGCTCGAGAGAGCTTGTGAGGTTTGCAGCTAAGATGGAGTCAGTTAGGCTAACCCAGGTTAGTTTATTACACTTTTGTAAGTGAAAGGGCAAATCTTTGTGCTTGCTCAGTGGCGCTTTAGGAAACCTGAAAGGCAGATTTTATGGAAAGACGTAATCTGTTACAATCTGTTTCATTATTCTGAATTTGAAAAAGGCATCATCAAAAAGGATTGTCAGAGGAGCTTTTAACAAGAACAATAGTTGTGACTATCTAATTAATCAAAAAGTCAACATAATATTTAAAATAATGAGAAGGTAGCAATATTTTAATTTTTATTTAAATGAAAATTGTTTAGATGTGTAGTATAAGGCAGCTAAAAGCATTTAGTTTTAGACTCTTAAAATTTGAAGTATACATAGAAGTGTGGCAAAATTATGCAGATTTATTTTCTGCACATATTGAAGAAAAAGAGTAACACTTTAATTTCTTCATACAGAGTGGACAGTTTACTCCAAGATCATCATTTTCCTTTAGCTATCAGTCTTTTCTATCATATCATACTTATGTTACTTTTTTCTTACATTATGGTATGACAGCATTTCCCATATGCATTTAAACCTGCTAATATTGTCAACTTACCATGCTGAATGACACTATAATTTAAAGGCTTATTTTCAGTCATTTTGCTCTTTTTATTTTTTTTTGAGACGGAGTTTCACTCTTGTTACCAGGCTGGAGTGCAATGGCGCGATCTCGGCTCACCGCAACCTCCGCCTCCCGGGTTCAGGCAAATTCTCCTGCCCCAGCCTCCTGAGTCGCTGGGATTACAGGCACACGCCACCATGCCCAGCTAATTTTTTTTTTGTATTTTTAGTAGAGACGGGGTTTCACCATGTTGACCAGGATGGTCTCGATCTCTTGACCTCGTGATCCACCCGCCTCGGCCTCCCACAGTGCTGGGATTACAGGCTTGAGCCACCGCGCCCGGCCTCAGTCTTATATTTAACAGTATTAATGTGTTATAAGATGATGTGTGCATTACATTGATTTTTGACAGAGTAGTTTGAGCTTAGTTGAGTGAAAATATGTTTAACATGGTCAAGAAATAAGTAAACTTAACTGAACAGTAACTCAAGATATTTGTTGTTACTGTTTTGTGAATATCTTCTTAGGAACTTTTTGTGTGACCAGAAATTATTTATTAGTAACTCTCAAGATCATTTTGTCTAAGTGAATTAGAGATCTTATAATTTAAAGTGATCCCTAAATAGCAATATAATTACTGTTGATTTTTAAAATTGATAGACATTTAAAATTTTTAAATAAGGTAAATGTATAGATTCACATAATTGCAGCATTGTTTGAAGTTATAAAAATCAATCCTTTTATAAAAATTCTAAGTAGCCGGGCGCGGTGGCTCAAGCCTGTAATCCCAGCACTTTGGGAGGCCGATGCGGGTGGATCACGAGGTCAAGAGATCGAGACCATCCTGGTCAACATGGTGAAACCCCGTCTCTACTAAAACTACAAAAAATTAGCTGGGCATGGTGGTGCGTGCCTGTAATCCCATCTACTCAGGAGGCTGAGGCAGGAGAATTGCCTGAACCCAGGAGGCGGAGGTTGCAGTGAGCCGAGATCGCGCCATTGCACTCCAGCCTGGGTAACAAGAGCGAAACTCCGTCTCGGAAAAAAAAAAAAATTCTAAGTAAAGGTACAATTTAAATTTAATTGAACATATATTTTTATAATTGTGAACTTTATGAAAGCAATGTTTGCTTTCGCTCAGGGGTTGGAAAACTATGGCTCTGGAGACCATACCCACCTGTTTTTGTAAATAAAGTTGTATTGGAACATAGTCTTGCCCATTCCTTTATATGTTTACATATTGCCCATGGCTGCTTTGATAAAATGGCAGAGTTGTGACCATAAGGCCCTTTACAGAAAAAGTTTGCCAAACTCTAGCTTTTCTGATGAGTACAGTGGGTATAGAAAACATAGATGTTTCAGAATAATTTGACTTTCTGAAGTAATGTAAACCTAAGTTTTGCATAAACTAGAATATTTTGTTAACATGGTTTTTATATTGTGATAAAATCAGGAAGAAGAGTCCAGGCACAGTGGCTCACACTTGTAATCCCAGCACTTTGGGAGGCTGAGGTGGGCAAATCATCTGAGCTCAGGAGTTTAAGACTAGCCTGGCCAACATGGTGAAACTCTGTTTCTAATAAAAATACAAAAGTTAGTCAGGCATGGTGACATGTGCCTGTAATCCCAGCTAGTCAGGAGACTGAGGCAGGAGAATTGCTTGAACCTGGGAAGCGGAGATTACAGTGAGCTGAGGTCACACCACTGCACTCCAGCCTGTGTGACAGAGCGAGATTCTGTCTCAAAAAACAATAATAATAATCCGGAAGAAGATATTATCATACTTGATTAATAACAGGATTTATCTTCAGTAGATTATATTACTTGAATTCTCGCTATATTTATATATCACATAAGCTTCTTAAGTTATTTTAAAAACATTGAAAATCCAGTATCCGTGTTTTGCTTCTTATCTTGTAATATAGTACACAGAGCCATTATTTTAACTGGGAGTTAAATTTCTTTTCCTTTGAGCTATAGCTTAACAAGCATTTGCAGATTTTCTTAAAGAGCCACAACATTTGAAGCAGTGGGAGTCTAATTTTTCTCTCATGTTGAAAATTGTTAAATTCTGGTTTTTAAAATTTATGCAAGCACTTGTTCATCTTTGAAACTTATCGGCATAGAGCTTACTTAGATTTTTAAAAATATCATTTACTAATTCTTTCTGTTTTGGAACTCTTTAGGTTGTGAAAACTTGTTAAAATTTAAAGTCTGTCAAATGGCCACTGTAGCTCTAAATTATCCGAAATGGAAGACTGACACTTTCCTAGATAAGCCTAGGAATTAGGATAATAAGTATAAATATAAGAGGCTGAATTCCCTAAAGAGGAAATTGTTAATTGCTTCATGCTTACAGATCTTTTATTTCAAGCAAAGCATATAAAGCAAACATGCAGACAACTTGGGCCACAAAAATAAAGAAATAAATAAAGGAAAGAGAGGAAAAAAGGAAAAGAAGAAAGAGAGGAGGAGGTAGGAGAAGAGAGAGAGAAAGAAAAAAAAAAGAGTAATGAACACTTTGCCAACTACGTAGTCAAGGTCATCTGGTAATTACTAGTTTGTGATTTTGCTGTGGAGTAAGGCATGGCTCACACCATGAGTTACCTGTAGAATCCATTACAAAAAAAGGCCAGGCTCAGTGGCTCATGCTTGTAATCCTTTCACTTTGAGGAGGCCAAGGTGGGCAGATCACTTGAGCCCAGGGGTTTTAAGACCAACCTGGGCATATGGTCAAACCCCGTGCCTAAAAAAATATAAAAACTAGCCAGGCGTGGTGGTGGGTGCCTGTAGTCTCAGCTACTTGGGAGGCTGGAGAATCACCTGAGCCTCAGAGATTGAGGCTGCAGTGAGCCATGATTGTGCCACTGCACTCTAGCGTGGGTGACAGAATGAGAATCTTTCCCAAAAAAACAACAAAATAAAACAAATTTATTACAAAAACAGATACACAGACCACCGTCAGTGACATGGACAAGTATAAAGTACAGAAAGTGATGCAAGGATTTCCTGATAAATCAGCTATATGGGACTATATAGAGTGTACATAAGTCAATTAGAAAGTGGAGATTATGTCTTATCTCCCAATAAATCACATATAGATAACCAAACGGATAACATATCAAAGTTGGAAGTTCACAAACAAATGCTGGCGTTACATTCAAGTCTTCCAGTAGAATTTTGGCTAGAGGTAAAGAAAAGCCACATGTTACAGAAAATCTAGAAAGGTGAGGTTAGACAAAACAAAATCAGCCAAAGCTCATTATGATAAGAATTTGATTCCCATTAAGATACATACCTAGCAGGGGACATTGGATGACCACAACTGGGCACATAAGGGCTTGATTGATGGAAGCTGACATTTGGCTTGAGGGAACATCAGCATGGGAAAATGAGGGACTTGTTGAAGTGATCTCTCTGGAATCCTCCAGAAAACTAAAAATCAGAACATCAAGATCACAAGAGCTGTAAAATCAATGCTCAGGAGTGAGATCAGTAAGTCTCCTAATTTGTCTTTTATTTCTGCTGTAGTTTTTTTTTTTTTTTTTCCTAGTGAAGGAAATAAAATGTGTGGTTTTCTTGTTTTCTTTCAGATTTGGAGTCAACAACATATGACACCAAAAAAATATTTTCAGAAAAGGATATTTTTGAAATAAATTTTTCTCAATGGGAGATGAAGGAAAAAAGTAAAACCCCTGGCCTTGAGGCATCCATTTTCAGAAATAATTGGAAGTGCAAAAGCTTATTTGAGGGACTGAAAGGACATCAAGAGGGATACTTCAGTCAAATGATAATCAGCTATGAAAAATTACCCTCTTACAGAAAAAGTGAATCTCTTACACCACATCAAATAATTTGTAATACAGAGAAGCCCTATGTTTGTAAGGAATGTGGGAAGGCTTGCAGTCATGGCTCAAAACTTGTTCAACATGAGAGAACTCATACAGCTGAAAAACATTTTGAGTGTAAAGAATGTGGGAAAAACTATTTAAGTGCCTATCAACTCAATGTGCATCAGAGATTTCATACTGGCGAGAAACCCTATGAGTGTAAGGAATGTGGGAAGACCTTTAGTTGGGGATCAAGCCTTGTTAAACACGAGAGAATCCATACCGGTGAGAAACCGTATGAATGTAAAGAATGTGGGAAGGCCTTTAGTCGTGGCTATCACCTTACTCAACATCAGAAAATTCATATTGGTGTGAAATCTTACAAATGTAAGGAATGTGGGAAGGCCTTTTTCTGGGGCTCAAGCCTTGCTAAACATGAGATAATTCATACAGGTGAGAAACCTTATAAATGTAAAGAATGTGGGAAAGCCTTCAGTCGTGGCTATCAACTTACTCAGCATCAGAAAATCCATACTGGTAAGAAACCTTATGAATGTAAAATATGTGGAAAGGCTTTTTGTTGGGGCTATCAACTTACTCGGCATCAGATATTTCATACTGGTGAGAAACCCTATGAATGTAAGGAATGTGGGAAGGCCTTTAATTGCGGATCAAGTCTTATTCAACATGAAAGAATTCATACTGGTGAGAAACCTTATGAATGTAAAGAATGTGGAAAGGCCTTTAGTCGTGGCTATCACCTTTCTCAGCATCAGAAAATCCATACTGGTGAGAAACCTTTTGAATGTAAGGAATGTGGGAAGGCCTTTAGTTGGGGTTCAAGTCTTGTTAAACATGAGCGAGTTCACACTGGTGAGAAATCCCATGAATGTATAGAATGTGGAAAGACCTTTTGTAGTGGGTATCAACTTACTCGACATCAGGTATTTCATACTGGTGAGAAACCCTATCAATGTAAGGAATGTGGGAAGGCTTTTAATTGTGGATCAAGCCTTGTTCAGCATGAGAGAATCCATACAGGGGAGAAACCTTATGAATGTAAAGAATGTGGGAAGGCTTTTAGTCGTGGCTATCACCTTACTCAACATCAGAAAATTCATACCGGTGAGAAACCTTTTAAATGTAAGGAATGTGGGAAGGCCTTCAGTTGGGGTTCAAGCCTAGTTAAGCATGAGAGAGTCCATACTAATGAGAAGTCTTATGAATGTAAAGACTGTGGGAAGGCCTTTGGTAGTGGCTATCAACTTAGTGTTCATCAGAGATTTCATACTGGTGAGAAGCTTTATCAATGTAAGGAATACAGGAAGACCTTTACTCATGGCTCAAAACTTGTTCATAAGAGAACTCATAGTAATGATAAACCCTACAAATATAAAGAACGTGGGGAAGCCTTTCTGTGGACAACTTACTCAAATGAGAAAATTGATACCGATGAAACCTTATGATTGAAAGCTATAAAAGAACATTTGTGTGTGTGTGTACAAACAACATAAGGAGAACTCTTTTTTTTTTTTTTTTTTTGAGATGGAGTTTCACTCATGTTACCCAGGCTGGAGTGCAATGGCGCGATCTCGGCTCACCGCAACCTCCGCCTCCTGGGTTCAGGCAATTCTCCTGCCTCAGCCTCCTGAGTAGCTGGG